AATTCCATTTAACAAAATGGAGAAGCGCTAGAGCATTGTGGGTTCTAAATTATCCATAAATTTTAATACTTGTGCCTTGTAGTGAGATTCTAAATTGTAGATGAGCATAGAGTGTAGACCGAGATCTCCTAATGCTGAGAGATCCGAATAAAGGATCAGTGGATCATCATGCATATACTCGTACGGGTTATGAAGCTACGCATCAAGGCAGGCTGGTGGATATCGTTCAGGGACCAAGGGCTAGTTTGGATGGCACCCTGGTGTTGTTGCCCGGGAAAAATGACTGTCTGGATGTTGCCTGTTAAATCATCGTGTTTTGCCTGCTCAGGCTATATCACAGATATGTTGTTTGGTTTGAAATATCTGCCAGGCAATTTGATCTTCATTAACTGTGAAGGAATCTAAGCAGGCAACGTTGCCAGTGGCCAGGTGATCGTTTTTGTGTGCCTAGAATGCCTGGACCAGGCAAAGATACAGGGCAGCAAGCAAAAGTCGTACAGACAGCATCCAGGCCAGGCAGTCTGTCTCCAGGGTAGTATCCAAACAGCCCCCAAATGCTTGCTTAGGCGTTTAGTCGGATGAAATTTAGAAATTTGGCTACCGTAGCACTTTCGTTTTTATTTGGCAATTAGTGTTTAATAATGGACTAATTGGGCTCAAAATGTTCGTCTCGCGATTTCCAACTAAACTGTGCAATTAGTTTTTTTTTGTCTATATTTAATGCTTCATACACGTATCGCAAGATTCGATGTAATGGCTACTGTAACATTTTTTGAGAAACTTTTTTTTGAACTAAACGTGGCCTTAGAAAAATGGATTGTGTTGGTACACGTGGGATTTGATATTCCGGTGATGCTGCCAACAAGTCTGCAGATCTCCGTAGTATGCTCTTGTCTTATCTTCTCCCAACAAGCTAGTATAATAGTAAAAAATAACAGGACCTCGTGGTCCAGAAGAAACAGTAGTTTGCAAACCACGTGCGCTCCGTGCTCTGGCTGGACTGCTACATGTAACGATCTCTTTTGCCGACCCCCGCAAAAATACGAAAACAATTGAGCACGCAATTAATTTACATGGCGACCATATTCCCTCTGCCTCTATCTCAAACAGAGATTAAGCACACTACATGGTGCACCTGCCGGTTGCGGCTGCGGTGTTTGGGGTGCAGGGGGTGTCACTGTTAAGAGAGTTGGAGGCACGTAGGGAAATATACCACCCTTGTGCAAGGCGGGGGGTGTCACTGTTAAGAGAGTTGGAGGCACGTAGGGAAATATACCACCCTTGTGCAATCATGTATAATGAGGCTGCAAGTAGCAATCCGGCATTAAGACGACAATTAAATTCGTATGATATTTGGGATCTTCTCGGGACCGCCATCTTTCGGGCCTCTTTGGCACGGCTTATGTCGGCTTCGGCTTCATCTATTTTGCGTAAATCGAGGCACTGTAGCGTGAAGCTGTTTTATAAGTCGGGGTTAAAATGAACTAGAAGCCGGAAAAAGCCGGTTTTTCTAGCTTCACCGGCTTTGACTTCACCGGTGAAGCCGTTTTGGATGAGCCGTGCCAAATGGGGCTTTCGTTTGATGAGCTGGGCCAGGAACAGAAGTGTGTGCAAATTTTTTTTTCCTTCTTTGAACTCGTGTAACGTACTTTACCACATACAACTTTTTGTCTTGTATTATGACGCACAGCATTTTTATGCTTCTTTTGCTCCTATATTGCCAAATGATGAGAGGTACGTATAAAGAGCTCAGTGGGAAAAAGAAAGAACGTTAAAAGTGCAGTGCGCGGCGTATCTTCAACCCAGTCATAATTTGGCACATCGTCAAATTCCACGACAAGGACTTGTTTTCTGACAGAAAAAAAAAACAGTTAATGACGTGGATTCAAGTGTGATCATCCACACCAGGGTGTTGATGCATCCACGGAGGACGAGGAGGGCTACCCCTGCCAGGCATTGGGCTGGTCACGGCAGACGCCAGTGTACTCAGTACACCGCCGTCGGATGACCATCCGTGAAGAACGGCACCTCCGCCGCACGCCGCCTCGAGAACTTCACCAAGCGAGTGTTGCGAAGGGCTGCCTCCTCGCTAATTCGTTAGCCTCCCAAGCTGCCGTCACCTGCTAACAAGGTGGTGCTCCAGTTGCGGAGCAAGCGTCTAGCGGCTCAGAGCCTCTCTCGGGTGCCTGCTTCTGAGATCCTAATCATGCAGTTGTTGGGTTTGGCCATGAGTCTTTCAATGCCAAGTGCGTCGACAAGGAAGGCCTACAACGAGGTCTACGAGGCTAGGCCGAAAGCATCCAACGTCGAGGCACGGGGCGTGCTCTTCCCGCATGTCGGAAAAGAGTCGCACAGGCAGCAGCGTAGGCTAAGGCCACTTCTTAGGTTGCGTCGCTACCCATTTCTCGGTTGTCTACCATTTGTGTAATACTGACATTTGAATTTGTATGCTTGGATGGTCCCGCTTCCGGCTACAATCCTATAGACTTTCTGGGGTGCTCACCAGAAGCACGCCGTTTGTATGGTCAAAATCTCCTACCTTAATTACAACGATGCACAAATATTTTGTGTATTCGAGAAGAAAAAATAGTTGCCATGAGCTTCACCTTAATTACAATTATGTGCAAATATTCTGCGTATTCGAGAACAAAAAATAGTTGCCATGAGCTTCATATAACTTTTTAGATAAAATGTTGTATATTTAAAAAGGGCGGGAGTTCTCATAAATATATTACTCATCTTCATATTAGAATCTTAAAGCCATGATATACGGAGGCTTTGAGACAATACAATAGCCTAAATCTTCCCTCCCAAATCCTTATCAAACAAAAAAAAAGCAAGCAAGCAAGATTCTATATATGTTGGTGATACTGGAAGATGCCACAAAATCAGTGGGAAGTGGAAACATGGGGGTACATCCGCATATGTAGACCTCTGTCCTCTCTGGTCTCTGCAATGCACGCTGATGCATCATGGGCTTGCAGATGCAGAATGAGAGGAACCACACGGGGAAAACTGCACGCAGGGCCCATCCTAACGAGCAATCATCGAGGGCGACTGTCATTGTGGGATCCCAAAACAAAAATCACAGGCCGATTAGGGGACAGTCGTCAGCACTCAGCACCATATACACATGTACTGTTCCCCATCCGTGCTATGTTGAGCTTTCAGTCCAAAGCGTAAAAACAAGGCATAAAAAGGCCGTGCATCTTCTGTTTCCGGGTGCCATCCATCCGGACGATCCATCACGTGAAAAGCTGTCCGGCTTTCTGGAGCAAAAAGAGAAAAAAGCGAAAGGGGAGCAGCAGCCCCAAACGCTAACGTGGGGGTCTTCTTGGCCATCGAGAACTGAACAGCAGCCAACAAGTGAGGCGGAGGCATTTGTAATCCTGTAAATTCAAGCTCTGCTGTTGGCCTGTACAGTCTCACTGATTGATTAGTGTGTGTGGCTGTGACACGACTGGCACATGGGATCTACGCATCAGAGGGGCTGAATCTCATGTTCCACGCATAGGGGCATGTGGTCTGTTTGGTTTTTCTGTCTGACCTATCGACCTTTGCTTTTCACCTTTTTGCCTTTATTATGATAGTATAGTCGTTTTTAATACCTACGCCTCTCCACCTATCTAATAAGATAGCTAGATGACATCTTTATACACTTAAAACATCTTCTCTAAATCCTTGTACTATAAAAACAAACCAACCTTCCTTCATTGCTCGTTGCCCAGCTAAATACACTCTGCATTCATTCTAAATTGTAAGTCGTTATAGCGTTATTAGATGCATAGTTTTTATTATGTATCTAGACATAATATATATCAAGATACGTAATAAAAGCTACATATCATAAAAAAAACCCGAACGACTTACAGTTTGTAACGAAAGGAGTAGCTAGGTACGAGGGAGTACATATAAACTCACACGCTTGTTAGAAAACTCTAAACTCTTCGGTTTGTCCTGAACATAATTCATCGATTTCTTTGATTTCTTGCGTTTCCTAGGTAATGTCCGAAAGGATTTTAATTTACTACAGTTGGATATTCGAATGTGCTATGCATGCTACTATGCCATGCTACGCCGGTCACAATCATCATGATTCTTGGATGGGTTTATTTTGAAACAGCCAACTAGGTGCTCGCATTTTTCTGGATTTATTTCAAGATTTAATGGCGTTGTGCTTCCAGTAGTAGACGACGTTCCCGTCAACAGCGAGCGTCTTTGGTGACTTCATCAATCTCGAGAGGTACCGGCACAGTCTTTCGGAGGTGCTCATAGGGATAGTGTTTGCGTACGTGTATTCATTGGAGTGAGTGTGCGTGCGTGTTGAACGTCTGTGTCTGTACTTGTGTAATTTGCAAAAAACACACACCGAAGGCATCAGAAAATTAGCAGACAGAAACCATCCAAAAGCAAATGAGATTTTGAAAAAGTGCATAGGAAAACCCCTCCAATTATCAGCGTGTCTCTCGTGGAGCCCCAGGGGTGCACGTAACGACGAGGGCCCCTCGGTCTTCTGGGACCTTCCACGTGTCCCAGCGCCATGAATTCCCTGCGCGGGAGAGCTGTGCCCACGCTTTTCGTCCGGTTTGCTTGGTTTGTTTGTCTTATTGATCGTATTTTTGTTTAGCTAATAAATAATATTTTTTTCTCAGATAAAATTAGCTAATAGTATTTTCAGTCCTGACTTATCAGCTAAATAAGTCCAAACGAACAGGGCGTTTATTATTACGTGCCCCCGGTGAAACGTCCCACGCAAATTGGACACCCATCTTCTTCTTCTTGGTGTGCCGTTTGTGTATATATGTGTGTACGTATCCACGGACCCCAGCAGAGCCCAAGCAAAGGTCTTCTTCTCCCTTTTTCAGCCCACTCCACAGCGCAGGCGAGGCGAGGCACGCAACAAGCAGCCGCATTTCTTGCAGTTGCAGTGGTGATCTCTCTCTCTCTTTCTGTGTCTCCTCGCTCTCCTCTCCTCTCCCAAACAGAGAAAGCTAGTAAGGATGGGGAGAGCGCCGTGCTGCGAGAAGGTGGGGTTGAAGCAGGGGAGGTGGACTAAGGAGGAGGACGAGATCCTGGCGAGGTACATCAAAGAACATGGCGAAGGCTCATGGAGATCACTGCCCAAGAATGCTGGTATGGATCGAACAACATACATATTCCTAATTGACTTGATTATTCAGAGGGAAAATTAAAAGGAAATTCTTGAGAAGTTGCAGATTAGTTCTTTGTTTTTGCCAATAAGCTGAGAGTGATTTCTGACCAATCTTGCTCCTGCAGGGTTGCTGCGGTGCGGGAAGAGCTGCAGGCTGCGATGGATCAACTACCTGAGGGCGGATCTCAAGAGGGGGAACATCACGGAGGAGGAGGAGGAGATGATCATCAAGCTCCACGCCACGCTTGGCAACAGGTACCCACTCATATCTATTCTGGCATTCGACTCCATCGGCTCTCTCCATCTTTCCGTTTGATTCCTGCATTTGAACAACTTTATCCACGCTGGGCCGCTTCAGAGTTCAGACTTCTTGTTCTTGCACAATAGTAGGAAAAATTCTGTGCTTTCTATGTCACCGTTGTTTGTGTCTGCTGTCGAGGCGAGAACTCGTGAAAACTGACAAAAGAAAACTGCAGGAACCCTTAAACATATATATGCTGCATGTTGCGATGAGAATTAGCTGATGAGACTGCAGAAACCAAACATGACATAGGCACTAAGGATTGTCATGTAGCAAATTAATATAAAACTACTTTGTTCTAATCAGTACCCCTGAATTCTAGCATGGAGCTCTGGTAGGAACCCGTGACTTGCATCTTTTCTGATGGAAGACTGCGTGTAATAATTCAGAAAACATAAATTTGGCTTTACTTAGGTCCAATTCACTTGTTTTTTTTGGTGCAAAGTGAAAACGATGTGCCAAGACAAGAGCCAAAGAAGATCTGTTCACTGTTAGTTACTTCCCCTCTACCCCCCTTCCACTGAAAAGAGAAGGAAACAAAATGGTAGAGGAAAAGAAAGTTGGTAAATTCATTCATTCATATATAGCCTGATTAGCTACTCTCTTTGTTTTAGAAAAAAAAAATGAAATTGTGGTTGAAATATACAGTAGTTTTAGGGGGTGTTTGGCAGGGCTGCTCGTGAGGGGCTCCTCCGGAGGAGCCAGAGCTGTTTTATCCACTAAAATGGCTCCGGCTCCTTTGTTTTTCACTGGAAAACGGCTCTTCCGGTAAAACGCTTGGCAGAGCTCCTCCGGAGGAGCCGGAGCCAGAAAGGAGCCCTACCAAACAGGCCCGTAGAAAGCAGAGGTGCGCAAAAACCAAGATTACTGCCTAATAAAAGTGCGAAGAGTTCACGGTTTTAGCAATGGCATGCCATGCTGTTCAGAACTAGTGCAGTGAGGTTTATTATTGGGTTGGGTCCAAGCATATCTGCTTTCCGGGAACGAAGTAGCATCTTTGAAACAGAAGAACCGACACCGTAGTGGATTTTCCTAAAGTCAAATTTAAAAAACAACAACAAGAAGAAGAAGCTGTGCACCAGCATGAGTAGTGTCGTGGTGCACCATCTTGTTGGCTAGAAACGTTGTCAAAACACGTGTCTGTGTAGATGGAGACGGAGGAGGAGCTAACACGTTGTCAAAGCAAGAACCTGGACGGTCATCACCTTTGTCCATGGGCACTTTTGTCTTGTCATGTGGTTGAACGAAGTGGAGTGGAGTGTCTTGTTGGCCAGCGCCATGCATCCTCCTCATCTGTCGCTTTGCGCAGAGGTGAGGAGTGGCCGATTTTTTTCTGCATCCGCCGGCCCTCGTTGGCCTCGTGCGTAGGGAGGGGCGGAGGGCAGTGCCGCCATGGAAAAGGAGGAGGGCAACCGCCCGAGCAGAGACGAGCAGAGCAGGGCTGGGCTGGCATTATTTCCTCAGTGGAAGAAAGGACGAGCAGAGCAGAGCAGAGCACCCCACGAGGAGTCGAGGACGGCCGGTAGTATCTGTTTCCTCCATGGAAGTGGCTGGATCGTTCATTCGTCTCATTCTCATGGCTCATGGGCGTCCGGCGGTGGCTCTCGCCATCTCCATCGCCCATCGGTGAGGGTTGCCGTCGCGAACGAGACGCGAGCCCCGTCGGCGTCAGGCATTGTTTTCGGTGGGGACGCCACACGCATTGAAAATGAACGAATGGGACGGGACCTCTGCACATGTTAGAATTTACAGTATTTTTCTTCCACAACAAAAACATGACTTATCAACCAACTTTAATACCAATCGAACAGACCCACGTGCACCGATGCAGGGCAGTCGTTCGCCACTTGCCACGCGGTCCGCCTCCCTCGCACACGTGGTTTGTTTTTTTTCACTCAAACTGTCAAACACATGATAAAAAAGGTCAAAACTCAAAAGTAGAAAAGAATATTCCTTGTAAGGCACCCAAAATCAACCCACGTGATAAGGCGTGCACTACACTACACGTATATTTGCTTGACAATTGATCCTCTGTTTCCGTCTCCTGGTGACCCCTTGCATTTGGACCGAGGAGCACGGTCCGCGATCACATAGTAGGACTACAGGACGCGCTACGTGTGTTCTTTGGACGCCGGAGTGGCCTGGGACCTCTCGTTTCTCACGTGGGACTAGACGTAGACGTACATGTCTCTCTCGGCCACCGTGACACGCACACCACTTGTGGGCAGACATCGCCCCGTCACTACACTGCGCGGGTATGAAACTGCCTGACCCTCTGCTTGCTTTGGAATCTCTCCGTCACAACAAGAATATACCTCTCCCTTTTTGGGACATGAAAAAAAAGTTTTTTTCAGATTTGCATCATATCATATCGATCATCTCAACTCTGAGGGCAACGTGCGCTCACACAGACCATATGAAAATGTGAGGCTTGGCAAACACTTGCGTTCCTCCTCGCTCGTCCCATGGTCCATGGATCGCAGGAATGAATAGCAGCTGCGGCAATCCGGCCAACGCAAACACACATGGTGCATTTGCCCTGGACGACGCAGCTGCAAACGAGGCCCTCATTTCATTTATACACGCCGCGACTAGGGTTGTTGGATCACCAGCTCGCGTATTGATTACCACATGTGTCTGCCCCCCTGAACATTTTGCGGCCATGGCAGTGTGGCAGGCATGGACAGCCATAACCGGCAGCAGCCCTCTTGTGCAGCACATAATACTACTATCTCCTGTTCTCTGTATATACAATTGTACACTGTGGTAGTGGTAGTTAATTCTCTGAATCTCAAGTTTCCGTTCCTTTTTCTTTCTTTTTCTTCGCAGGTGGTCCCTGATCGCCGGTCATTTGCCCGGCCGAACAGACAACGAGATCAAAAACTACTGGAACTCGCACCTGAGCAGGCGGGCTGCCGACTTCCGCGACGGCATCGTCGTCAACATCGACCTCAGCAGGCTGCCCGGCGGCGGCAAGCGGCGCGGCGGCCGGGCCAGCCGAGGCATCCTGGCCGCCGCAGCCAAGGAGAAGAAGGGCAAGAAGGGGAAGGACGACAAGGGCAAGAACAATGTCGCAGAAGCGGAGCAGCAGCAGCAGCTCAAGGACAGGGAGGAGGAGGAGGACGCCAACGTCTCAACTACGCCGAGGCCTCAGCCTGACTGCGCCACCGCCGCCCAGAGCGAGGAGCAAGCGCAGGCCAGCGCTAGCGGCCTGACCTCCGATGGGCCCGAGGAGGACCTGCTGGCTCTGAGCGAGGAGATGGTGAGTGCGCTACTGGCGGCCCCGGGAAGCCCAAAGCTGGAGGTGGGCCCGGATGGCTCGTGCATGGACAGTGACAGTGGCCCGTCCGGGGACAGTGGCTGTGGGTCCGGTGGGCCTTCTGGCGACGTGGCCCATGAGCTGGACCTGGGCCTGGACGACAAGGCCATCATGGACTGGGACTTGATGGGGCTGGACATCTCGGCCGCCGACGACATGTGGGACCCGCTGTTGTGGGACTACGACGACGAAACGTTGGTCCCGGAACCGGCAGGAGGAGGGGAGGGGCACCAGCAGCAGGACGAGGTGATGTCAGACCTCTTCTTCCTGGACAATCTCTAGGAAGGAGGACCGATCGAGGAGGCGACTCTGTGCATCTTTAGCATGGGCATGGCTGCTGTGATGTGCTTAAGCTTTTCGATTTGATCCAGTACTAGTAGTAGGTTTTGGGTGTGTTCAGTTCAGAGGTGAGTGAGGTCTGAGTTAAGGGGAGTGCTGCAGTGACATTTTTGTCTGCTGGCCTGGTCTCATGAACCCGTAAAATGGAAAGAATGTAGAAAAATAAGCGGTAGAATGGCACCTTATGTTGCACATTCGCAAGGATGGCCTGAGGTGAACATGACCTAATCCGCACGCAATATTAGTTGGGATTTTGGAGACCTTTCAGCATTAGAGCCTGCATAACATCTGCAAATGGAGAAAGACAAAAAATAAATAAAATTGGCTGCTGGGATTGGCATTGTCAGCTAACCCCTGAGTACATCATCTTTTTTTTTAGAAACACAAGAGCTTTATTAATTCACGTCATGATTACAGTTTTACAATCGCAGAGAGCTTAACTCCCTGAGCCAGTCTGGGAATGTTTCCTATCGGAATTTGATAGTACAAGTTGCCATCACCGCATAGCTACGTGCAACAGCATTGGCTTCACGCTGAACAAAACAACTTTAATAAACGATAAAAAAGTTCTTCCCAGCTCCAACTCCTACAATCTTCTGTGCAAAGAATCCAGTACTTCGAACACAATATACAGCCTAACTACTATAATCAGTGCAGTTACGGTAGCAGAGTTTGACGCAGCTCGTTCTGTTCGATGTTTTTAGTGGCTGGGTGCTCCAGTGAAGTTCTATCTGTCAGTATGGTCGAGTGCATGTTGAGAAGCGAAGATTTTTTTTTTCACGAACACGACTATACACCGTTTTTTCATTAAGAGGAAACTTAAGAAGGGAACAAACTGTAAACAAAAGAAATTAAGTGGTGGAATTACTCATTCTCGATCACCGTTTACAAACTAGGGTGGAGCCATTATCATTGTTGAATTTGGGAGAACTGTGGTATTCTGATTACAACCAACCAACAACATGACAGGGAAATGCCAATGAAATCCTGCAGTGAAAGAAGAGAGACAATTTCACTTGATTTTGGACCTTTCAAAGGAACGCCTAGCAGCGGTGAAGCTAGAGCAAACAGTTTTCAGCAAGTTCTGGGGGTTAAGAGCGTGTTCGGCTGGCATTAATTTTACACTGCAGCAGCTGGAAACACTGTAGCAGCTGGTTTTTTTAAGAGAAAAACACTGCTCCGGCTGGAAAAAAAAAGCTGGCCAGCCAGCCGATTGTGGCCAGCCGAACATGGAATAATATCACCAGGCTCTGACTGTTTGGCTGGATTTCTCAAACTGGCACATACTTCCTCTGACTGTTTGGCTGGATTTCTCAAACTAGCACATACTTCAGAACGCAATGCTCCACAGCCTAATGTTCTAATCTCCTGGTTCCTACTAATGTTCATCTTTGTGCATACTTTAGAATCAACAAGCTTGGCATGGACTACCCATTATCATTCGTGAATCGTGAAACAGGGTGAACACAGGTTACAACTGACAAATATGATCCATGATCAGTGGTGGAGGCAGAAATAATTTTTAGGTGTGGCGCGGTTTATAAAGATCAAACATGTATAATGTAACTATGCAAAGGCTCATGAGAACTTATTTAAATATATATGAAATATAGTTGAAATCCAAAAGTAGAGCATTGGCATTTAACATACCTCACTAAATGAAGATTACCTAGCAGGCCAGCATGTATCATATATATAATACTACGTATATTTGATATTTTCTACAGATTCTAGGTATGGCAGCTGAAGGGCTTGCCAAATAGCTGGCTCCGCTCATGTCCATGATGAACACAGGAATGTATGTGTTTTGTCTTGGGAAGTATTTCTGGAATTTATCAAACAGTGGAAAATTTAATAAAACTCAAACTTCTCAGGCCTACATTAATGTTTGTTTATCGAAACTAACAGTGCAATGGATATTCATCCGTCAAATGCTTCGTACTAAGCTTTCCTAATCAGTCTAGCCAGTTCATCTCACGCAATCAAATCATCATAGAATCCAGAACATAATGTGTGCACATAATTCAGAATTATAAGGATGGAATGAACTATCATTATCATTCGTGGTTCATGAAACAGGGAGGACTCGAGCATTCGTTATAACTGACAATGCCATTCATGATTAACACAGGAACATATGTGTTGGAAAATACTTCTAAAGTGTTTTACTAATCGGTAGTCGTCAGTTCATCTCCCACAATAAAATTTAGCACAGAATTCAGACCCTAGATGCTTTTGCCCATCTTTCAGAATGAACATGCTTGTCATGGACTACCCATTATTATTTATGGAGCAGGGAGAACTGTAACATTCTTCGGATTATAATTGACAACACATGAACATATATGTATTAGAAAATACATCTGAAATTGTTGAGGTAAATGCTATTTCACTTCAGAGTTCCCAGCACATCAGCCTACATAAATGTTTGCAATCGAAACAACAAAGCAACACATGGCAGGGGTCAACATTGCCACCTAGGCCATATTCATTCGCTGAACTTTTCATACAAGATTTCTAAAGGCCAAAGCAGTCTCATCAGCTCATCACACAATCTAATTTGCACAGAATTCAGCACGGAAATATTTCTGACACCTTAATCAGCTCAAAGAACAACACAATGTAGTCTGCTACTATGCTGGATGAATGTTGCAGCAACAGTTTAAACTACAACACTCTACACGCCATCTAGTTCAGTTCAGTAGTCATTATTCAGTAATCAGTGCGGTTTCGATCACTTAGCTTACCAGAGTTTGCTGGTTGGGAGTCTTCTTGGATCTTTTCCTTTCCTCCTCTTCCTCCTCCCTTTCTCTTCTGGGCAATAGCAGATTCATCAGCCTCGGTTGCGGTTACCTTCGTCGCCGGCACCATGCTACATCTGTTCTCACCGTCTGCAACCGCGGGCATACTCGATTTGATCCCCTGGGCTAGACTTCCACCGGAGTCGCAGCCCTTGTTGCTCGAGGCTCGGATCGACGAGGCGCAGCCCTCTCCAACGTTGAGCTCGCCGAAGACCTTCCTCCTCTGGTCGTCCACGGGCCGGACTCGCCGCGACGGCCCAGTCCCTTCCCCGGCACACTTCCTCTTGCTCCCGCCCCACGCGCTGTGGCTAACCGTCGGCGGCGGCAGCGGCGTCGAGGAGGCAGCGCGCCGCCCCTTCGGGTGCGGCGTCCGTCCCAGGCCCGCCGCGTCCCGGTCCCAAGGCGCGCCGCGCGCTGGCGTCGCCCCGTGCGCCGCGACGGCCCCCTTGCTCGTGGCCGTAGCGGCCGCGTGCTTCTGGCTGCGGCGCGGGCGCGGGCGCGGGGCGGTGCGGAGGTGGAGATCCAGCTCGCGGTCGCGCGCGCGCCAGTCGACGCCCTTCTCGGCCAGCACCACCTCCCGCGGCCGCGCCGCGCCGAACGGGTCCGCCTTGATCTGCTCCCTCTCCGTCTCCCGCCGCCGCTGCTCCACCTCCCGCGGCCGCGCCCCGCCGAACGGGTCCGCCTTGATCTGCTCCCTCTCTGTCTCCCACCGCCGCTGCTCCTCCTGCTGCTGCTGCTCCCGCTCCTCACGCTCGACCTCGTCGGCCCAGGAGAAGCCGAACCGGATCGCAGGCTTGGCGCCGCCGCGGTCGCTGCCCGTGTTCTCCATAGCTTTCCTTTCCTCTCTCTCTCTCTGAACCTGAGCGCGTGGGCTGCAACTGGTGCTTTCAAGTTTCGAAATGGGGTGCGGGTGGTGGGGTGGGGCCTGGCTTGTAACGGTCGGCAACTGCACGGGCGCGCTGCACACGATCTGCATTGCGACTACAAAAGCATTACAGATTGGTCACGCCATTCAAATTTAAAATTTCTTTTGAAGATCTAATTACACATACAACTTATTCTCTGATACTGGCACCACACCAGAGGGTCAGGTTAGTAGACTAGATAATCCAACGGAAATAGGATAACAATAATAATGAAACGTCATCCAAGATCAATCGAGTCAGAATATATACAAAGGGAAAACAACAAGACTGCATTACATTGTTGAGGAAAATCTCTTGAATTGTTGATTGATTCCAAATTCAATGAGGACAAGCAATTGTATTATGAACTTCAAAGACCGAAATGGCATACATTCTCTAGGTGACTGGGAAGCATGCAGTCGGGAAACAAGGATGATAACCGTTGCAATTGCAATCTGCATCGTCTTGGCGCAAAAAAAAAATTCTTCGAAGTACAACAAGATCACGTTCGGTACAGAGATACGCTCAATCACGCGAATTCTTGATCAACCCATAAATTGGCACCGACAACACGATGAGTGGATATGCCATAACTGTTGCCGTCCAAAGGGCAGCGCCGCCGGGTGGTCAGAAACTCAAGATGCGGGAGCACTTGCGCTTGAACCACCTGAGACCCCGGCGGAGCGACTCCTTCACCTTGCCCTTCACGGCGTACGCCTTGTAGCCCGCCACCCGCCGCCGCCGCTTCATCTCGGGGTCGCCAAAGCAACCCATGCGCACCCCACGCACTCCGCAGTGCCGTCTTCCCGTGACCTGCGGCGGGGCGGAGGGGGCCGGCGCCGGCAGCGCCATGGCAAGCTGCTGCCACGGGTGCTGCGGCGGGGTGGTGGCAACGATGCGGTAGTGTAGATCTCCTGAGGAAAGGGCCTCTTGGGGAAGGAGGCGGAAGGATCGGGTGCAGTGGATGGCCGGAAGAGCGGTGGTGGAGGATGACCAAGGAGAAAAAGGTGGAGGCGAGCACGGAATATGGAGGGAGGAGAAACGTGGGACTACGTCGCTTAATTTTTTTTTTGAAAAAAAAACTATTTTTGGGTCTTTGGTTGTAGAAAAAAAAGCTCGCAAAATATTTGGCCTAAGCTAAATTGGGGCCATGTTCAAATGAGGCCTAAAAGACCATGCCAAAAATTGGTAGGACTTGTATTTCTAACATGTGGGGCCCATAGGTGCCTAAGTTTTTAAGCTCTAAATCATGGTCAATATTGGTCTTATTTGTAGATTTAATTGTGATATGATATAGTAATAGTGAAATCAGATCACCAATCACATACCCTGTTTAGAAGATATTTTCTTTACAAATTCAAAACAAAACATATAGAGTATTAGTTGAGGAAAAATCCTTACATGGAATTGGCATAAATCTACTCTTGTCCATCACCTCCAAAACATGATTCCCATATATGTCATTTATGTTATAATCCCTTCTTTACTAAGATAATTACTTGAGTAAGCATATAAACATCTCATTGTCAGTGTTACTCCTACTAACCATACCCAAATCGCAGAGGTGGTTAACATTTGGCGAGTGAGTAATTAAGTAGGTGATCGAGGAATAGGTCATAGGCGTAGGGTGCTATTATTTTAGTGGTAGACGATGTTCCAGTCAAGGCGTAATATTGAGATCTACTGGTACAGCCCATCCTTTCGGAGGTGCTCGTTTCGTCAATCTCGAGATCGACGAATCTAGTCCGGCCTTTCAAAAGTGCTCATAGACTAGACTGTGTGTGTATCCACAGGTTAAGTGTGCGTGCATGTATATGATTATGATGTCATCATTTGTAGTGTCGTAAAAAGAAAAAAAACCTTCAATTTGTTTGGTTAGACCAAATTAAATTTATTTGGTTTGAACCTTAAGGATACATTATGAGGTAGTTTGGTTCCCAAGCCAGGCATGCAAGTGTATGATCACAGTTCCGCAGTGACCAAATTAAGACAGGCATATAGATATCCATATGAACCGACATCTTGTGAAGACGTAATACTAAATAAACAATAAATACGAAAGGGCATGTAGCCTAGCTATTACAAAAGTCAGTAGTACCTCAGGTCCGGATTCGACTCTCCCTATAAGTGAATTTTTATAGGATTTAACGGACGTTATGCGATAATAATCACCAACCGCAAGCATATATATAAACCATATATACCTTGTCGGCTCGTCCGCAGATATACCTTTAATTACATCAACGGCTCATAGGTCGGAAGTGTTTTTATTTCAAAAATGCTATACAACACACATGTATTTTGGCCGAAAAATTTTTAGTCACCGGATCATTGCCTCGGTTATTTGCGTCCATCAGATCTGCAAGCCAGTAAACGTGAACGCCAGAGAGAGACGATGCGCGTGGTCGTGTCAGGTGGCTGGTCGCGTCCGTCAGAGAGAGAGGACGTGAACGCGAACGCGAATCGCTCTGATGCGGTGTCAGGTGTCCCCACGACGCGACCCATGACGAACGGGCAGCAATGCAACCAATCGCTCTGTAATTTGTCATTTTATAGAAAAAAATGTTTTTTGTGATATATGATTTGTGATCTATGGATCTGTGATCTTGTGATTGTCTGAAGGTAGAAGAAGGCTAGAGATAGAAGAAAAATGGAGGCTGTTGGATCTTAATCTTATGGTACAAAAAAATTCATATGTTCAAATTATATAAAACACATGGTTGTGCAGTAAACAAACTCTTTTATTTACAGTCCAAACCATATAGACAGTGTCGGCCGCATCTACCGTCCAAACCATATAGACAGAGAAAATTCCCTCACTGTCACTAAAAAGTATAGCACTTCCTTCATTGCGTTGCTAAGCTCGGCCTCTTGCTCTTGCGTTGCTAATTACTACTTCTGCTAGACTGTTGTCCAACGAATTAGGCACTTGATCACAGCACCACCAGTGCGTTGCTACTACAACTTTTTACTCTTTCTCTAGCTTGCTAGAGTTGCTTCAAGTTCTGCTCCCGGCTGTACTGCTAGCTTTTGCGATGCGTCCGTCAAGTATGCCACCTTGCATTGCAGTTCGACGAGTAGATGATGGCATGACGCAGCGTGCCTTGCTCTGCCGCTGCACTCTGTCCGCTCACACGAAGATGAAGCTCCACCGTCCACGTTCATCACCTTCCTCGGCCTCGCCGATGCTCCAGTCCAGCAGGCTCGCGGCAGCAGCAAGTGTTGGTGTACACGTACGGTTCTGAGTCTTTCTGCTCATACTAGCTTGGAAGCCGGCCCTGCTGCTTGCCCCGCGGCGCAACCGCACGCCTGACAGGAGAGAGAGGCCACGAGCTGGGTGCTCACGCTTGGCGCTTCGCTGGCTCTCTGATTGTCAACTTTGTGGCGGTAACTACAAAAATATCCTAGAAAATAGTAACTCGTCTAATATTTTATCATTTTTGCTGACGTGGCATGCCAGATCAGCCAGCCAGTTTAGGCAGGCGTTGGCCTTGACGAAGACCGAAGGCAAAAGACCATTCTACCCCGCCGTGTATTGCTTAACAAGCGCCGTCTCCTCCCATCTGCTCAGTCCCAACGGTTCTCTCCGCACTTCTTCTTCTTCCTTCCTTCTCTCCCGTCCGCATGCGGGCTTCGACCTCTCCCTCGTGGCGCTTCGCCGCCAGCCAGCGCTCTCTTCGGCTCGCTCACCGCGCGCTGAACGTGAACATGGCGGCGTTCTGGTGGGTTGGCGTTCCCAGCCGAGGGCCGTGTCCAGCTTTGGTGAGCAAGACCAACTTCGTGCTCAGCTCGCTTCGTCTTTGCCGCTTTCGTCCGCCCACGTCCCTGCTGTCGCATGCGCCCGCACCACGGACGACATCGAGGCGGCGGGGCTCACGTGGGGACGACGGCTTCCGGCCCCCTACGCCATGGAGCTTCCGTTCTGTGGTGGAAGGTCTTCTTCGTCACCGTCATGGGGACCCTTAGGAAGCTCACCGGGTGCGCGGGCGGCGGGACTCCTCCGAAGTCCGGGATTACGGAGGCGGCGGCGCCGATGCTTGCTCAACGTGAAGGGGTACTTCCACCTCTATTGCGCCCGAGCGGCGTTCGACGCCGGCATCATCACGAACAAGTCGTTCATGGGCATCATCTTCATGGTGGCGCTCAACGTGGCGGTGACGCCCATGGTCGGGATGGGCATCGCGTCGTGGCGCGGCGGAAGCGTCGCGATGGCGGCTCATGGGGGCTGCAAAGACCACGACCGTCCCACGGAGCTGCGCCGTGTGGTGGGGCCGCCGCCCACAGGGACGTGCCGACGCTATCCCTACATCATGGAGGCGCTGCGGTGGGCGCGGCGGCGCGGGAGGAGGCGGCGAAGCTCGCCGTGTACGCCGTGGACATGGTGCGATGATAGCCACCGACGGCGGCGCGCCATCGTGAAGGGCGGCGGATTCGACGGCGTGACCGTGGTGGGCGAGGAGGTGTCGGAGATGCGAAGCTCATCGGCGAAGGCGCCGGACGCGTACCGTGTGGAGTCGCGGCGACGACGCCAAGGTGAAGGTGCGGCGGGTGCTTTGGCTCGTGTCGTTCCCGGACATGCATGCCGACATGTGCATCTCGCGCGGAGGACGCGATGGCGGCGGCCGGTGTGCTCCCGTTCCACAAAGCGCGCAAGCGGGCGGAGCGGCAAAGATGGAGCCGGGCCACCACGGCTTCCGGGTGGTCAACCGAAGGTGCTGCACCGGCACCGCACCGTGCTCGGTGGGGTGGTGGTGGACCGAGGCCTCGGTGGGGCGCATGCATCCGCTCGTCGGCACCAGCTCCAGTCCTAGCAATCCTGCATACGCCAGACCCGCAGACGGCACCGTGGTGGTTGTGTTCATCGGCGGCGCGACGATCATGAGGCCCCGACAACAAGGCGTCCTGATGTTGAAGCACTAATAGAGAATGCAGACTTTAGAACGATGTCCCAATTTGGCATTAGCCTCGGCATTTTTTGTCACGAACTAAAGGACCATTTAGTCCCGTTAAGTAATACCAACCGGGACTATAGGTCCCCGCCTAACGGTCGTCTGCACAGGCGAGGATCTTTAGTCCCTACTGGTATTACTAACCGCACTAAAGGTTTTAGTCCCGGCTTGGGTGATACAGGAATAAATATTAATCTTTAGTTCGGTTTGGCCACCTAACCGGGACTAATTATGCCGGCCTATACACCGGCTCATTTCTTCCTCCCCGAGCCCGAGCCATTCCATTCAAACTCACTGCCTCTGTTCTTCAGCTTGTTGTGTTGTTCTTGCTCTCTCCCCCTCCATTGGTGTTGCTCTTCGATTTTGGAGGTAACAAACTTAATCCTCTTATGTTTTATCAGTAGCTTATCTCATTTTGCGATGTAGATGCATGTGTAACTTTATATGTTGGACTTTATTATGATTTTATATGTCATTTTTAGCTCAAAATCACATGATGATTTGCATATATGTTTGGATAAACAAAAGTTAAATTAGTTCATCAAAATCACGCCTCGCTCGTCTCATCATTGGAGCACGCGCCATCCTCGCCCCAATGGCTTACGTGATCTTAGAATTAATTTTTCCATGAAATAAAAAACTTAGAAAATAGTTAGAAAATTGTACAAAATCCGTACTAGTTGAACTTGCGGACCATGATCATCTCGGCGAGCATTTTCTCTGCCGAGCGGTAACGGACGTCAAGGAGGAGCTTTGATTCTACGAGGGAGAGCGGCAATGGTCGTGGAAGACCGTGTTCTCTTCCTCGTAGAATCGGAGCTCTTCCTTGGCCAAGTACGGTGCCGTCCGGTGGAGAAATGCTCACCGAGATGATCACGTAAGCAATATCAACTAGTACGGATGGTTATTTATTGAAACATATTTTTGAGCTATGTGATTTCTATGTCATTTTTAGCTCAAAATCACATGATGATTTATAATAGTAAAATCACTTGATAGTTTGGTATTTTACTATTATACATAGTACATATTTCATGGTTTAGTTAGATAAATAAATAATTTTAGTTTTGTTTAAATATATTATTTTAGAAAATGTAAAATTTACAGTAGTTTGCAAAAATAAGTATAGAAAGTAGATGACAACTGGTACCGGATCCTTGGCCTCTCGTTCGGTTGCGAAACGACTGAGGCCAGAACTCCCTCTCATTATCTGTGGCAAGTGTAAGCAGAAGATTGTGATGGAGTACCGAGTCAAGAGACAGGGACCCAACAAGGGTCGTGTTTTCTACAAGTGCTCGGATCGCGATGTGAGTTTCTTACGTATTTGATTATTATGGCTAATTGACCTGCTTTTCTTGAATATTTTTGACTAAATATTTTTTGGCTTTAATTTCAGTAGGAGGGCAATGGATGCGATGGTTGGTACTTGGGAGGAAGATTATGCTACATACGTGCAGAATTAATTTCACCGCTGGCGATGAGGCGATGAGCCAAAGAGAGAAGCTTATTGATATTCAACAGAAGAATGATTTGTCTGTTTTAGTTGCGTACGATCACGAAATAATTATATTACTGAAGTGCATTGTAGTTTTAGTTTGTTTAGTGATAGTTGGGATTGCTTACGTTGTAGCCAGGCTTAGTTAATTAATCAACCGTGTGTGTGTCATCTATGTTGTGTAATAAAATACTTAATTATGTTCAAGATTTTCATAATTTGTCGTGTAATACAGATTATGTCATGCCATTGGATGTACAATACCGATCGCCGCTCCTAAGACTTTATTGAGGGCTTGCACTATTTCTTAGGTGTGGCCGAGGCAAATAAGCGGGATGGTTTCATGTGCTGTCCATGTGCCCTATGTAAGAATTTAAAGGAATATTCAAGCTCAATGAGTCTTCATTCACATTTGCTTAAGTCAGGTTTCATGTCAAACTATATATGTTGGACTAAGCATGGAGAAAGCGGGGTCATAATGGTAGAAGGTGAAGGAGAAGATTTAGACATTGATGACATTATTGCTCAGTATGGTGCCTTTGATGATACTACAATGGGGGGAGATGAAGAAGAGGTAGCGGTAGAAGATGATCTCGGTGATGCTCTTGTCGATGCCATTCATGATGCACAACAAGAATGGGAAAGTGAAAAAGAGAAAGTTAAGTTCGAGCGCATGCTTGAGGATCATAGGAAGTTGCTATACCCGATGGCCGAAGAGGGACAAAAAAAGCTGGGTACAACACTGGAATTGCTACAGTGGAAGGCAAAGAATAGTGTATCCGACAAGGCATTTGGGAATTTATTGAACCTCATAAAGAAGATGCTTCCGAAGCCAAATGAATTGCCCACCACTACGTACAAAGCAAAAAAGGTTGTCTACCCTTTGGGATTAAAAATCCAGAAGATACATGCATGTCCTAATGACTGCATCCTCTACCATGGCAATGAATACGAGAATTTGGATGAATGCCCGGTATGTAAAGCATCGCGGTATAAGATCAGGCGCGATGATCCTGGTGACGTCGAGGGTGAACAACGTCCTAGAAAGAAAATCCCTGCCAAGGTTATGTGGTATGCTCCTATAATACCACGCTTAAAACATTTGTTCAGAAATAAAGACCATACAAAGTTGTTGCGGTGGTATAAAGAAGACCGTAAGGTAGATAATATGCTGAGACACCCAGCTAATGGGTCCCAGTGGAGAGCGATAGACAGGGAATTTTCAGAGTTTGCAAATGAGGCTAGAAACTTAAGGTTCGCCTTAAGTACAGATTGTATGAATCCTTTTAGAGAGCAGAGCACTAGTCATAGCACTTGGCCAGTTACTCTATGTATCTACAACCTTCCTCCATGGTTATGCATGAAGCGGAAGTTCATTATGATGCCGATCCTCATCTAAGGTCCGAGGTAACCTGGCAATGATATTGATGTCTATCTGAAGCCATTAGTTGAAGAACTTCTAGTTTTATGGAACAAACCAGGTGTACGTGTCTGAGATGAGTACAAACAAGAACACTTTGACCTACGAGCAATGTTGTTCATAACAATCAATGATTGGCTTGCTTTAAGTAATCTTTCAGGTCAGACAAACAAAGGATATAATGCATGCACACATTGTTTTGATGACCTTGACAGTATATATTTGAAAAGATGTCGAAAGGTCGTATACCTTGGCCATCGTCGATTCCTTTCTTTGAATCACCAAGTAAGAAAGAAAGGGAAGCATTTTAAAGGTAAGCCAGACCACCGGAAGAAGCCTCATAACCGAACCGGGGAAGATGTACTCGCAATGGTCAAGGATGTGAAAGTAGTATTTGGAAAGAGACAAGGCAGTGAATCTGTTCCCAAAGATGCTAAGGGACACGCACCCATGTGGAAGAAGAAGTCCATCTTTTGGGAGCTACCCTATTGGCAAGTCCTAGAGGTCCGCAACGCAATCGACGTGATGCACCTGACAAAGAATCTTTGTGTGAACCTGTTATGATTCATGGGTGTGTATGGGAAGCCAAAGGATTCACTTGAAGCACGCCAGGACTTGCAGGGCATGAAAGAACGAGACAACCTTCATCCAGAGAAGACAGATGATGGATGTCATTACTTAAGTCCTGCTAGCTACACGCTTAGCAAAGAAGAGAGGGACAGCATGTTTGAATGTCTAAGCAGCATCAAGGTCCCATCGGGATTCTCCTCCAATATAAAGGGTAGAATAAATATGCCAGATAAGAAATTCCTAAACTTAAAGTCACATGACTGCCACGTGCTTATGACGCAATTGCTTCCAGTTGCTTTAAGAGGAATTCTACCTCCACATGTACGTCTAGCCACAGTGAAGCTATGTGCATTGCTCAATGCAATTTCTCAGAAGGCAATCAATCCAGTGAAACTAGCTACTCTACAGAATAATGTGGTTTAATGTCTTGTCAGCTTTGAGTTGGTGTTCCCTCCATCCTTCTTTAATATCATGACACACCTAGTTCATTTGGTGAAAGAGATTAGTATTCTTGGACTTGTGTTCTTACATAACATGTTCCCCTTCGAGAGGTTTATGGGAGTCTTGAAGAAATATGTGAAAGTTCATTCTAAGCCTCAAGGAAGCATCGCCTGTGGCTATGGAGAAGAGGGAGGTCATTGAGTTACAGTTGACTTTATTCCCGACCTTGCCCGATTGGCGCTCCCAAATCACGACACACGAGGGGAGACTCAATGGTAAAGGAACTTTAGGGAAGAAAACATATATCGGCATGGAAGACGATTATTTCAATAAAGCACACTACAGTTCTTCGAACTCGTCATTGGTGCATCCGTACATCGAGATACATAAGGAGTTCTTACGATCCAAGTTTCGAGGAAGGTCAAGCTTGGATTAGGCGGCGTCGACACATGGAAAGTTTCGATTGGTTGGTTGCGAAAAGAATGTCAAGGCGATGACAATATTGATGAGCAATCAGATTTGTTGGCTAGGCGACCATCGTGGGCATATCCTCACGTACCAAGGGTACGAGATAAATGGGAATACATTTTACACAGGTTGCCCAAGATAAAAGGAGCACCAATCAAAATAGTGGTGTTCGCATAGATGGCACAGATCCAAATGG